CAGCTTCACGGAAAGAGAAATACAGTTTGGTGTTTTCTGTCCTCCAATACCGTGGCTACATGCCTTCAGGGTTGTCTTGTGACACTGCCTTGGGGGAGGGGGCTCTGCAGAATTTAGGTCTGTTTGAGCCAACTGCATCTTCCAAACCCAATGGCGATGTTAAATATCGTCATGGACATTGGTCCTCAAATAAAAATTAAATAAATCAATACCATGGTTTAATGCCTAAAACTAAACAGCAGTACCATTCTGCACTGTGATCTTGGTATCAAATGAAGGGATTGATGCAGAACTTAAGAAAAAAATTCTACTTTAAAAGTCCTACAGCAACTTTAAATGAAATCTGCTGATAAATATAACCCCAATGGCTTCTAAAGGAGCAGTGGGGGGTTATGGCTTCATGCATGTGGAGGGGATTGATACATAGTTAAAAGAAAAAATTCAACATTGATCTATTTTTCTCATATGCAATGCCATGAATGTTTTCCTTTTTAGCCAAATGTTCCCAAGCTTTGGAAGGAACGTATAATTGAGAACCTTGAACAAAAAATAAATCTCCAAAAGAAATGCTCTTAGCATCAGGTAAAGTTTTTACGAATGAGTAGTTCAGTTTTGATAGCAGGCATACAGAATGACAAATGCGACTGTTACTCTTTTTAGCTATTGAGGGTACAACAACCCATCCTTTATATTTTGGAATCCAATTAAGCTTTCAATACAGCTGTATCCATATCTTGATGAACAACCTCCTGTACAAGTTTTTATCTTGGTGTTAGACTACTTAAAGTGTAGGCTGCAGGCAGTAAGAGTAGATGGTTCTCTTTCTGGAAAAAAAAAACTGTCATCCACAGTATCACTCTATGGGTGTGTCCTCTCCCCTTTTTGTACGTTTTCTAAACATATGACTGAGATAATTGCTTTAAATGTAGGCTACCTAAAACTTTACATCTGTAAAACAAAAGTCGTGGTGATAGGCCTAAAAAAAACATCATGCTCCAACCAATATAAACCAATATGACCAATATTTAACGGATCTTGAGTGGAAGCTGTGGGCCGCTGTTAGTACCTTAGAACAATAGTGGACAGTTCTCTGACTTCCAACACTCTGCTGGGGTTTGCAAGAGGGGCCTACAAAGCCTTTATTTCCTCAGAAGGATGTTTCCTTCTGAGGAAACATAAGAAAAAAA